TATCAGTTCCGATCCTGTAGAGGAGCCAGCCTAATACTGAAGGAAATCTCACCACAAGGCAGAGACAGGAGCGGGTCACTCAAGCACACTTGACTGTAAGCGTTAGCCTATGCCTACCACAGGCAAGTTGCTCTTCCTGAATCCACAGCCATCGACCCCACTCCACCCCACCCCCACTTACTGCTAGGGACTCTTAATTATCACAACACATTAAGGTGCCTTTGACAAGCTAATGTCAGGAGCCTGATGCATCTGACCTGCATGTTCATGGTCTTGGCTAGTTCTTCAACTTCAAGACCTCATTCAAAGACTCAAAGAGTAAAAAGAGAAAGGCAGGGGTAAGTTCCCACTGTGAACCCAGGCTGTCTATCACAAGGCCCCTGCAGTAAAAAGAACAAGCGACAATCACTCAGGAGGCAAAGGCAGGAGGATCTCTGAATTCGAGGCCAGCCTGGTCTACAAAGTGAGTTCCAGGACAGCCAGGGATGTCACACAAAGAAACCCTGTCTCAAAAAACAACAACCACCAAGGGCTTCACCAAACACTGTCACCCAGAAACACAAGGCAGTTCTCCACGTCTGCCCACTGCTGCGCCTGTCTAATGACAACTCAGTTTCTTGTGTTCCTCAAGTGAGTCCTTCCAGCAGACGTTTTCAGCTCCCCCATCCACCAGTTCCCCCAGGTCACAGCAGCCAGGTACCATCTGCAGAGGATCATTAATTTTAATCACAAATCTGGTGAGGAGGGGGAATGTCATCTTTCCCTTCAAATGAAAAATAGATATATTATGGAAGAGAATACCACACTCAGGAGAATTATTTTTAATTTAAAAAAGATTTTGAATAGATGTCAGAACCCCTGATGATCCCTTTCAAAGATCACCCTGTCCTGAGACCTAAGACTAAGGGAGATATGGAAGTTTACTTATCTGGGGTGTCCAGAGTGGTTCTGGGGAGACTTGTGAGCCCTCACAGGTGATTCTGAGTCTGACTGGATCCACGCTGATCTGAGGGGCTCTCCCAGCAGGACCAGGGACGGGCAGACGCTCCCAACAGTCGGGGATCGGGCGAAGAGCCCACCCTGAGTTTCTCTGCTACTGTTCTATGGGTGTCAATGTCCAGCCAGTCGGTGCAGATCCCAACACAGGAAGAGCTTCCTCAAGCTCCCGTCTAAGCCCACGGGCAAGCCCCTTTAATGAAACCCGAACCCACAAGTTAGAGATGGAAGACAAAAGGAGTCTAGACTGATCCAAAAAAAAAAAAGGATAAATAACAGTTTAAGGACCTTTTATTTCCTCACAGAGGCTCAACTTCTGATAACAACAGATTGTAAACACAACCCCCCCAACACACACACACACACACACACACACACACACACACACAACTGTGACTGACATCAGACCCACCCACTCTTGCAGGGTTTCCTGTGGGCTTTGATTTCAGGTTTGTTAGAACTTTCTTGTTTTTTGTTTTGCTTTTCAGGAGAGGAAAACTTGTAGAGAAAACAGTAGGGGTTTTTCTCTTCTTTAAACATGTATGAGGTTTGCTTTTGTTTTGTTTGTATGTGTGTATGGATTGTGTGTGTGTTTACACTTTTGTTGTTGTTGTTTGGGGTTTGTTTTTCGAGACAGGGTCTTACTATGTATCCCTGGCTCGCTCTGTAGCCCAGGCTGGCCTTGAACTCACAGAGGCCTGCCTGCCTCTGCCTCCCAAGTGCTGGGATTAAAACTGTATGCCACTACACCCCAATTCAACCTTTGCTTTAACAAGAGATACAGGTGTCCCGTGTAAAAAGTTGTTCTTTTTATAAATTTCTGGAAGATCTCCTGGCCTCACGTTGGGGAAAAAGGCAGGCAGAAAAGAGAACCTGTGAGGGGATGGTACCATTCTGGCAGGCACTGACTGCATAATCCTGTCCAGATTCTAGCATGAGAGCATGCACCCAAGGGCTGGAGAGGGATCTGGGAGTGATTAGCTGCAGGAACAGCCCTCCACACGGTTCTGCCTGCAGCTGCCAGGGAGAATTCTGAGGGCAGGATGCAAGGTGTCATTGTTAGCAGAAAGCCTCCTCTGGCATTAATTGTGTACAGCTGCCCAGTCCTGCCACCCCCCACCTCCCACCACCAACCAAGTCCGAGCACTGGCAAGAGAATGCCAGTGGCAGCTCCTAAAACCAGGCGGATGAAATGCCCTCCTAACCTGAAAGTGTTTCTAATTACAGCGGCTAATTACCAAACCTGCACTGCATTTAATTGCCATGACAAAAATCACAAAAGAACAATTAACAAGGAAAGCCAGAGAGAAAGGAGAGGAAGGAGAGGAAGGAGAGGAAGGAGGGAGCGCCTGCTTTCTGTAGCGCATACGCGCACAAGTCTAGGTAGGCATCAGCTCCGAGCAGGGAAAGCACCCACCATTGAGTGAGGGAGCAACCAAGAACAATGGCATCTACCTTCTCCCTCTCACCCTCTTGTGCTTCTTCAGCTCATATTGGCCGTCAGCTGGCTGAGGACACTTGCCTTTCTGGTTCTGTCAGTATCCCCAGAGTTCCTTTGCATGAGTTATGACAAAAGTCTGAAAAACGAGTGCATGCATTACCCTCATAGCAAAAAATCTAACTTACCCTCAAAATGACGAAACCACAATTACCTGAGGCAAAATGCTTGCATAAGACACAATTTATTACACTATGGATTGAGTTGTATCCCTTTCGGGTGTCGAGGCCCTAATCTCCAGTACTTCCATGGAAACAGCCATTGCAAAAGCCTGCAATGTGATTGTTATCATCGATGAGGAGGGCTGCACTTGGAGGTGGGGCCATCCCACAGGGTGCGTCCTTACGAAAGGAGGAAATGGGAGGCTGGGGAGATGGCTCAGTGAATGAAGTGTGGGGAGCTGAGTGTGGATCCTCTGTATCCACATAAGTCCAGCAGGCATGGGACCCATACGTACCTACCTGTAATCTCATCAGTGGAAAGGTGGAGACAGGAGGATGCCTGGGGCTCACTGGCCAGCCAGTCTGACCAATGGGTAAGTTTCAGGTTCAAGGAGAGACCTTGTCTCAGAAAAATCAGGCCAAGATAGAGGAAGACACCTAGCATTGACTTTTGGCCTCCAAACACATGTGTACTTATGCAGATGTACTAAACACACATGAAGCAGGGGTGGGAGAATTTAAACACACATGTATGGAGAAGACATCAAAAAGATAAACAAGCGATGTGCTATAAACCAAGAAACACCAAAGACTGCTAGCAAACTCCCAGAAACAAATAGAAGCACACAAACCAGGTTCTTCCTCACAGCTCCCCAGAGGAATCCATCCTACTGAGAAACCTTGATCTTGAACTTGGAGCCTCTAAAACTCCGAGACAACAGAAAATCTTTTATGTTACAGCAGCAGAACAAATGGACATACCTATCCATGTTACCTCCCGGGGTGTTCATCCTCACTGGGTGAGCTCATTCACCAGCCAGTCATCTCTTCCAACCCAGACCCACTGCAACAGCTTCACAACCAGTCCACCTACCACTGAACACTCTCCCTTTGTCAAACTTGTGCCGTGGCGAACTTTGGTGAACTTTAGGGCTAAACTAAAAATAAAAGCAGTAAGAGGAATGGTAACTTCTGGATGAGTCTCTTGTGTGTGCCAAGCACTGTGAGAAACGCAAAGGAAAAAACCAGTCGAACAGCAGAGCACCAGATAGAAGGTACACTGTGCAGAGGGCATCATGGGAACACGGAGGAGAGGTACCTGGCCCATGGAGGAGGAAGGAGATGCCTTACGAAGGGCTTCCAGGAAAGAGGAGACCCGGAGACCCGAGCCAAGTCCCAAAGCACCCTCTTTATCCAGACTACGAGTATACTCACCTGAGAAGCTGACAGATGCAGGCGCTGGCATCCTGCTGGCCCTTAGGCACTGTGACTTAATTGGCCCAGAGTGTGGTTTGGTTTCAGACATTAGCCAAACGCCAGGTGAACCTAATGAATATATATATTTTTAATCCATCCTTAAGTGCTGTTTCTCTGCAAATTGGAATCACCTGTAGTGTTTTCCTAACAACCCCCTAGCCCATGCCTGGGTCCCAGCTCTGGAGATTAGATTTAATTGGTCAAAGTACAGCCAAGAACTAAGGCATTTTTTAATACTCCCCAAGTGGTTATAAAGTATAGTCAAAGTCGAAACCCACTACTTTGAAGGAATGCTTTTCAAAACTGGATGTCCCTAGCAACCGCTGGCAGACCTTGTAAATATGCAGATTATGAGTTAAGTCTAGGTTGGGGAAATTCCACCTATGCAGGGAAGTGGGTATGCTAACTGCAGATCTTCACCTCTCCCTCCTCTCCTCCAGTCTCACCTCCAGCTCTGTAGCAGACCACCTGCGGAAGCCTCCCCTCCCCCTCCCCCCCATCCGCAGTGGGTCACACAGCTCTTCAAACTTCCTCTCCCCATACTCACTTCAGGGTCACTTATGCATACTGTCCTGTCACCTACAAACAAAACACTTGGACTTCTTCCTTTCCAATTTGCATCTCCCTGACCTTCAGACCTGAAGTCTTATTGCTCTAGCTAAGACTTCAAGTACTATATTGAATAGGTGTGGAGAGAGTGGACAGCCTTGTCTTGTTGCTGATTTTAGTGGAATTGGTTTGAGTTAATCTCCATTTCAAGTTGATATTGGCTATTGACTTGCTGTAAACTGCCTTGATTGTATTGAGGTATGTCCCTTGTATACATAACCTCTCCAGGACTTTTATCATGAAGGGTCATAGATTTTTGTCAAAGACCTGTAGTTGGTATTTTCTTTGGGCCACCAACCAGCTCCCAAATAAAGACAGGGAGACTTATTATTATGAATGCTCGGCCTTAGTTTAGGCTAGTCTCATTAGCTCTTTTAATTTAATTTGACCTGTTTCTATTTATCTATGCTTTGCCTCAAGGCTTTTTACCTTTTTTTCTGTATGTCCTACTTTCCTGCTTCCTCTGTGTCTGGCTGACTGGCTTCTGGCATCTCTGAGGGCACAGAAAAGGGATCCTTTTATGAAGTAGATTGGTGTGCCAGGAGCAGATGTGTCTCACTGTCATGAAAAGCCATAGGTTATTAAACATGTTAAATATCATATTCTGTAGGTCTCTGAGGCATTTGAAGATCACCTATCTATCTAAAATATATCTGTATTTAACCTTGAAAACACACCTAATATAACTACAAGTTTGATTTTTATAGATGGCTTAACTACTGACTTACTTTTTTTAATTATTCTAAATAGTTTGTAATAAGAGCTTTCAAGGAATAGAACTTTATATTACATTTTTAAATGAGCTGCATAGGTACAAGAATAGAAACATATATACAGTATAACAAAAATAACCTTAAATTTGTATCAATATACAAAACTCCATACCAATGTAAGTTTGAGATGAATAGTTGTCTTTTTATCCTATATTCCTATATCCTCACTAAATGATGACAAACATTCATAACCCACCGAATAACCAAAAACCATCCACTCCACCTCCTGGGAATGTGGGCGTTGTGTTCTCTAGACTGCTTCCTGTTGTCTGATGGTGACAGCAGTTAACTGGGAGCTGCATTTAACCGCTCCAGCTCTAGGAACTTGGTGCCCGAACTGTGGCAGGCATTTTTATCTAACTTGCTTTTCTACTTAGTGCTCTAGTACACAAGCAGCACATCTTAAAGGAGCCCTACCTGGAGTTTTTGGTTTTGTTTTGTCTCAGCTTCCTCAGGCCCTATGTGGAAATTCAGGTCCCCACGTTGGGTGCCAAATGTAGCCAAGCTCTTTCTCTGTCCCACCAGCCAACTCTCAAGTAATGACATGGAGACTTATTATTATTTATGAATGCTCAGCCTTTAGCTTAGGCTTGTCCCACTAGCTCTCATAACTTAATTTAACCTGTTTCTAGTCATCTGTGTTTTGCCCCAGGACTTTTTACCTTTCATTCTGTTTGTCCTGCTTTCCTGCTTCCTCCATGTCTGGCTGGCTCCTGGCGTCTCCCTCTCTCCCTCTGTCTCTGTCAAGCCTAGATTCCTCCTCCTACTTACTCTCCTTGCCCAAAGTTCCACTTATACCTCCTCCCTCACTATTGGCCATTCAGCTTCTTATTAGACCAATCAGGTGCCTTAGGCAGGCAAGGTAAAACAGCAACACATCTTTTCATAATTAAACAAATGCAACACATCTTTACATAGTTAAACATATGGGATGTTTTGGAGTTTTTCTCCTAGCACCTTCTATAAGGTTTGATTTGTAGATAGATACCACTTAAATTTGTTTTTATCATGAAATGTCTTGTTTTCTCCATCTATTGTGATTAAAATTTTTGCTTGGTGTGGTAGTCTGGGCTGGCATCCATGATCTCTTAGAGTCTGCAGCACAATGGTCTATAGCTGAAGTTTTCTCCAGTCCTGCCTGGCCCACAGTCAGGACAAATCTCTCTCACCCGACAGTCCCGCAGCCGCTCAGACCCAACCAAGTAAACACAGAGACTTATATTACTTATAAACTGTATGGCCGTGGCAGGCTTCTTGCTATCTAGTTCTTATATCTTAAATTAACCCATTTCCATTAATCTATACCTTGCCACGTGGCTTGTGCTTCCTCACTTCCTCTGGCTTCCTCTGTGTCTGGCTCGCGAATCCTGACTCAGCCTTCCTGTTCCCAGAATTCTCTTCTCTCCTTGTCCTGCCTATACTTCCTGCCTGGCTACTGGCCAATCAGTGTTTTATTTATTAACCAATCAGAGCAACATATTTAACATACAGAACATCCCACATCAACGGTCCAAGCCCTTCTGTCTTTTAGAATCTCCATTGAGAAGTCAGGTGTTATTCTAATAGGTCTGCCTTTACATGTTACTTGGTTTTTTTCCCTTTCAGCTTTTAATAGTCTTTCTTTGTTCTGTATATTTAGTGTTTTGATTTTTATATAGCTAGGGGACTTTTTTTTCTGCTCCAATCTATCTGGCATTCATTATGATTCTTATATCTTGAAAGACAACTTGTTCTTTAAGTTAGGAAAATTTTCTTCTATGGTTTTGTTGAAAATATTTTCTGTGCCTTTGACCTGGGTTTCTTCCTTCCTCTATTCCTATTATTCTTAGATTTGGTCTTTTCATAGTATCCCACATTCCCTGTATGTCTTGTGCCAGGGTTTTCTTAGATTTAACATTTTTCTTTGACAAAGGTATCCATTTCTTCTAGTGTGTCTTCAATACCTGAGATTCTCTCTTCCACTTCTTGTATTCTATTGGTGAGGCTTACCTCTGAGAGGTTCCTGTTTGAGTTCCTAAAGTTTTCATTTCCATATTTCTTTCATTTTGGGTTTTCTTTATTGATTCCATTTCCACTTTCAGGTCTTGAACTGTTTTATTCATCTCCTTCCATTGTTGGTTTATATTTTCATAAATTTCGTTAAGAGATTTTTTTCATTTCCTCTGTAAGGACCTCTATCATATTCATAAAGCCTGTTTTAATGGGTTTTTGTTTTCTTCTGTGCTTCAGCTGTTACAATACTCATGGCCTACTGTGGTAGGATTTCTGGGCTCTAGTGGAGACATTGTCCTGGCTCTTAGTGATTTTGTTCTATGCTGCATCTAGGCATCTGGGTTTGGGAAGACTGTAATTTTAGGAGTTGATATCTGGCCTTTGTTGGGTGGGTGTTTTGTTCCTTGGTTTTTGTTGCCCTTTCTGGTTCTTAGGAGAGTGTGTGTTGCCTGGTAAGAAATTCTTCTGGGATCCTGATAGGTGTGGCCACTGAGCATTCCAAGCAAAATGTTTTTCTATGTATTAGGAGCTGACACTTAGGAATGGGGATGGGCTGGTGGAGAGAAGAGAGAGGGAGTTCACGGGAGGGAGGAAAGCAGGGTGTTTCCCCAGGATCTACTCAGTCCCCTAGGAACTGGGGCCAGAGAGTGAGGAGAGGCCACAGCAGGTGGTCTGCTACAGAGCTGTTGATGAGATTTGGAGTAAGGGAGCAGTGAAGACCTGTTAGCCTACCTGCTTTGCTGGCTGGGTTCCCAGGGAGTGCCTGCTGGGCTTGGGGGCTGGAATAAAGCAATGGGGGGATAGGGGGGTGGGGTGTGTGTGATCCATTGGGATCTCCCAGGCAGAGAGGAATGGGGGCTGCAGCAGGTGGCCTGCTACAGAGCTAGGGATGGATGAGTCTGGGGTTTTAGAGGATCTGGAGGAGAGATGAAGATCTTCAGCTAGCCTACCTGCTTCCCTGGCTGGAATCCTGTGGTCAGTTCTCGAAGCTGAAGGGAAACAATGCTAACTGTAAACTCAGTTCTACAAGAAGGAATACAGACTGCCAGGAACGATGAACAGCAGGTAGCTGTAACAGCTTCGATTTCTTTAGAAGAGGACAGATTTAAGGCAGAAAAATAGCACCATATTGTTGGATATATAAATTATGTGGAATTAAAATATAAAATATAATACAGCTGTGTTTCTTCTTCCGCTTCTCTATCTGCCCACACCAGAGTCAAGCCAGACATGATGACCGTGAACTAGTTTGAATGTATTCCCTCTCAAGTGACCTCCATCAAACATCCCAGTGCGTTAGTTACTTTTCCTGTTGCTAAAAATCCTGACAAAAGCCGCTGAAGGGAGAAATGGCTTGTTTGGGTTCATAGTGCAAGGGTACAGAAATCATGGCAGGACAGTCCTGGAGGTGGGAGCTTGAGGCAGCGGGTCCCATCTCATCTGCAGTCAGGAAACAAAGAGCAATGATCTTACTGAGTCCCCTTCCTCCTCTCTACCTCATCTACAGCCCCTGCCAGGGAGTGGTGCCACCTCAATAAACTTAATCTAAATAATACCGTGACGTTGACCACATTGATCATCACCCCCCTAAACTTCAAACTCCTACACTCATGATTGATGGTTTTATCACTATCTCCAAAGGCTTTAGACAACTACAGAGAGCGTGCTGGTGGCCCTTCTTAGGGTCCAGAAAGCTCCAGAGCCTACTGAGACCATCACTGAATGATCAGCTAGCATTCAGCAATCTTTTCCTTGTCCTCAGCCCTCGTCACTGGACAATCCCTTGCCCCTTATCCCCACTAGAGGATGAACAAGGTATCGCAGCTGCTCGGGCTGGTGGGCCTGAGGCAGATAAGATGGGGAAACATAAGGAAGGTGGAAAGGAAGCCTTTCACCCCTGCTGGATAAAGGGAAGAGTTTCAGCATAGCTAATTAAAAATTGCTCTGAAGGTTGCCTGTATGGACACAATGGTTTTTGGAGCGATATACCAAATAGCAGTGTTAAAATGGCAAGTATCCATTTTTTAGATGAAAAACATGCACGACCTCTCCCTCTGAGATCCACCACAGCTGGGCGGTGATGGCACACGCCTTTAATCCCAGCACTCAGGAGGCAGAGGCAGGCGGATCTCTGTGAGTTCGAGGCCAGCCTGGTCTACAAAGCAAGTTCCAGGAAAGGTGCAATGCTACACAGAGAAACCTTGTCTCGAAAAACCAGAAAAAAAAAAAAAGAGAGAGAGAGAGATCCACCACAACACCACTAGTCATAATCCCTGCATACAAAGCAAAACACCCAAGGAATGGATCCGAAGATGAAAATGAACACCCAGTGGCACAGTTCGAGGGACAATATGGCTGCCTCTCCTGACCATATATGACTCAGAGCCTAAAGGTTGAGGAGAAGGCAAGGAGTAGACATAGAGTAATGAGACAGCCAAGATCTGCTCTCACCAGCCAACAGCCCCCATTCAAGCCTGTGAGCCAGTGTCCCCGCCCCCGGCCCCCGCCCCCTCCCCCCCAGCCCCCCCACACACACCAAGTTCCTGTCGGCATACCTGTGGCTGGTGCTGGGTGGGTTGGAGCAAGGCTGTTTGCTCACTGGAACCCTGTGTATTTTGTGGGCAATGAGAGCATCACCGTTAGCCCTCAACATTGCAGTGAAAACAGCATAGCTTGCTGGCGAGCTGAAGGATGCTAACAAGGAAGGCAAACCATCTCCTTGGAGGAGCTTTATAGACAGGCTGTGACGCTGGGCCCCAGGCTCAGAAAAAAAAAAAAAAAAAAAAACTCTCTGGATGAATGCCAATAGGAGTTGTTCTCTAACTGTAGTTTTCTACACACTAAATAATTTTGTTTAAGGCAGACGCATTTCCCATGGTTTCCCCAGTGCCAGAAAATCAAAGAACTAAGACCAATTTTGGTGAACCGAGGAGGCAAGACCAATACCTCATGTAATTATACTCAGTCTCCAGGTAACAAAAATCTACTGGGCACTGGGCACCAGGCCACTTCAGTCTCTCATCTAGCAGTTTGGGCCTCTCCTGCTCTGGGTGCCACTCAGAATCCTGCAGGCATTTCACTTACACAATGATTAAGACCCCCTCCTTTTCTCTCTGTTACCTGACTGCCTTTCTGACTATTGGACTCCTCGGGGCAGAGTACACCAGCTTGGGATGCAGAGCCAAGCCCCTGGGATCAGCCTTGGCTTTTGTGCTTCCTTGTGGTTCAGTTTCTTCATCTATAGAATGGGTAACAACAGTACCTACTACAGAACACCGCTCTGAGGAGAGATAAAACGAGGAAGGGTAATGGGAAATGGAGGTAAATTTGCTCCAAGTTCATTATATATGTACACAAAAATGGCCTCATGCACCGGAATAATAGTTATTTAAAACTAATTAAAAGGAAGAAAAAAATCAAAGCGTTTCCTGAGGATGAGAAATATCTGCTTGTAAATTGTCTGGGCTGGTTCTGGGCATGTGGGAGCCACATCATGTTCCATCTCTTCCTAGAGATCCCCATTTCCTCAGTTTTTCCCTCAATTCCAAACAGGTTTTCCCAACAAATGAGTCAAGAGAATTTCAGGCCTGTGAAAATGAGGCTGTTTTCAGTGCTGTCTCCTGCCTGCCAGAGACCCTGCTTCTTATTAAACAGTTCTGTCTACTGCGGATCAAAATATTGCTTCCCTAGTCATAATTTTAAATAATTTATTAGATCCATTTAAAGTGTTTTTTAAATTACAAATGCTCTAATTCAGTTAGAAATAAAATTAAGTACAGGGGAGTAACCTTATTTTCTCCACATACAATATTCTAAAAGAAACTAGAGTAGCCAAGTGTGTCTTCCTATCAAAGATTTTTCTCACCCCATGTGATGCTGTAAGAAAAAGAAACTCTCATCTGAAGATGCCAGCCACCGTTAGTACCAGGAGACTGGACAGAGTGGATCAGCTACCGTCCATCTCCGTGTGGTGACTGGTTTGTTTGTCTCTCCAGAAGAGGTTCACACTGGGGAACACCAGTTCATTCTCTACCCTGCTTTCCCTGGCCCACATGTGCACACACACACATGCACAGGCATACACATACACAGATACATGCACACTTGCATATACCTCTCAACACCTTCATTGATTCCCACCACTTGGCTGGACAAACAGGATTGAGAGAGACATCAGAGGAGCTTAGGGAATAAATTGGGCTTATGGGCCTCCGAGTAGAAGTTTGCATGTAGTGGAAGCCATTGCCAGGTAGAGGGTATTGGTTCTTTTGTGGCTGGGAAATTTATAAGTACCAGGAAAAATCCGTGACAAACGTGTGAGGGTTTCTAAGAACACAGAAGAGAAAGGACTCTGAGGCTGAAAGTGTCTGGGGAACACTGATCAATCAGCAGCCCAAAGGAAACTTCCTTTCATATGCTCTCACTCACGCACTGGGGAGAAGACACTGGGTAAACATCACAGGCTGTAAGACTGGCTTACTCTCACACTTGATAATTTCTTTCTAATACTGGTCTGAGGGTGAGAGTTCAGAAAAGAAAGCCACGTGACAGGGTGTTTCAGGCGGCTTACGAGGAAAGTGAGACCACAGAAGTGTGGCCAAGTGCTCAGGGCTCTGTGGGGCTTGGATGTCTCTATCCTTTACACTACTAGATTCAGAGCCTAGATTTAACTTATCGGGGGCTGCTTCCCCTCCACTCTGATGGAGAGACACTGTGTAGTCAGCCTCTCAGCCTCTTCTGTCAGGACAAGCAACAGCTCAGAAAGGGATGGAATTTCCTTTTTTTTCCTCCCTTATTCTGAGGAGTTGCAGACCCAACTGGGAGGACTAGGTGACGTTAGGTGGGACCAGCAGAGGGCAGAGCAAGAGGTCCTGCCCCTGTCCTTCCCCAGCTGAGACAGGTTTGCAACCTCAAGCCCTCAGCCCAGGGTAGGCTCAGGCTTTTGGTGCCCTTACAGACAAGGTCTTACGAAAGTCACCCGTGTACCCTCCCGAGAAGCATTTCAGAGCAAGATGTGTGCAAATTCTTCAGGCTCTACATTGAGGCCTCACTTCCCTAAGTGTGCCATAGGCTGGAGAACTTTGAATGGTACAAATGGAAATGTCTGGGTAGCTATGCATTAATTTGAATGTATATTAGCTATACATAGCCAGATAACAGTGATTTCATGGATATTGCTTAGGATAACTTTATAGAGAAGATCTATAACATGTGATGTGCTGGCAACCCCCTGCCTGTGTCTCCCTCCAGTTATCTCCATACTGCAGCAATGTGTATAGACTTCTCTTAAGGTACACGAAGAAAGGGGAACAAATGCTTTCAAGTGCTTTGACGTGTTTAGATGGTTGTGCAGATGCACACTTGCTATTGTAAGTGTGGTTTTCATTAACATAACTTGTTCAAGCCTGAGAAACTTTAGAAGAAGCATCTTAATTTTTAAGATCATCCTCCGATCTTAAAGATGTCATCAAAGATGACATCCGGTGCTCAGGTTTCAGCTCAGCAGTTGGCCTCAGGCAGCAGGAACTCTGGCCATTGTCTGCCTCTCCCCAGGAGCAAACATTTGGACTTCCAGGCAGAAAAGCGTCCAAGGATGAGGCTGTCAACCTGAAATGGGCATCATGGCCTCTACCATACTACTTTATGCTAAGGGCAGTTGTCGTCGACAAGTATTTGATTGTTTTGCTGTTTTATGTCACAAACATTTAAAGATCGTTCATTTTCCAATAATTTTCAATATGATAATATACAAGTTTTCCTTTAAAAAATGAAAGCAATTGGTCTTATATACTATTTTATCTCCTTTGTGAAAAAAAAATCTATTTGGGGGTTTGCTCTTTTGTTTATTTGTCTGTTTTTGAGAGCCAAAGCAACATTACTTTAGTGAATTTGAAAAATACAGAAAAAGCATAAAGTAGGGAAGCACTCTGCCACTCCTGTGAGTTCAAGGGCAGCCTGATCTACATGGTAAATTCCAGGTCAGAGCTACAGAGTGAGACACTGTCTCAAAGAAAAATAAAAGCATAAAGCATTTTAAATTGTATAGTGTCTAACTAACCAGAAACTGTTTATGTGTGTGTGTATATATATCTAAACATATATGTGTATATGTGTGTGAACATGTATATATAACATTCTTATACATCTAAACATATATGCTACAGTTTTACTTTCCGATACAGACATGTTACTTTGTAGCTTGTTTTACACTTCATATGTTATCAACGTTTCTTCTTTCCTGGTCTATAACCCTCTTCCCTCACCTCCTTCACACATTACTTCCTTCCTTTTCACTTAAGTAGGCAGCCTCCCCTCTGAAAAATGCGAAACCATAAGAAAACAGCAAATCCCTGGCTTTCCTGATGCTGAGTCAGCAAACACCCTCACAGCTGTGCACACATTCCCAACACGCCCTTTGCTGGGGCCTGAGGAAGACCGTTCCCTGCTGACCCAGCTTGGCCCTCCTCAGTGTGCTTTGGACCTGCCCGTGGTCTCCCTGAGGCTCTGGGTGGGGCTGACCAGCAGCTTCCCAGCCTCTTCTAATGAGCATCTCCAAATTCTGCTTTTCCTGAGTTGGCGGGACGGCTTGGCCAATAAAAGCGCACATTGCCAAAGCAGGAGGGCCTAAGCTGGTATGTGCCACGCCTACATTTTGAGTTCAGCGGCATTTAGAGAACTCTCTCCCAGCAGCTAGTGAGGATAAGGGCCACTGATACGCTCTCACCACCCTCCCCCACCCCCCCCTCACCCAGCCCCCCATTTTGTCCTTTTCCATCACAGTGCTAACTGCAAATTGCGGTCTGCACTTAGGTCTGCATTATCTGGCAAGGCCTGTAATGCTTACCTTTAACTGTCAACTTGACATGACCTAGAATCACATAGGAAGAGAGTCTTTATGAGGGATTCTCTACCTCAGGCTGGCCTGTTGGCATGGTGGGGGAGCCGGGGAGGTGTCTTGTCTTATCAGTTGAGTTGGGAAGACCCACCCTGGTTGTGGGTGAAACCACTACATGCTAGACCCTGGGCTGTATAAACTATCAGAGTAATAAGCAGGAAAGCAAGGCTCCATGCATTTATTCCCTCTCTGCTCCTGACTATGGGTGCAATTCTTTAAGTTTTTGCCTGGGCTTCTCCACAAGAATGACTGTCACCTTCAGCGGGAAGCCAGATAAACCTAACTCTTCCTTCCCTGACCTGCATTTTGCCAGGGCATTCGTCATAGGAACAGAAATGAAGTCAGGACAGACATCATGTCTATTTTGCTCGCTGTGGATCTCCAGGAGTCAGCACGGGGCCAACATGCAGCTATAGGAAGAGCGAAGCCACCGCTTTGTCAACGTAGAGACTGGGTGCAGCGCGTCAGACACATGCTCCGTCCGTTTAGATTTTCCCACCACATCCCAGCCCTGTGCGAACCCACAAAGCTTTGTATAAATATCCGATTGTTTCCTTAAGACAAATTATTGAAAGGAGCTAGCTGACTGATGAATGCTGAGGACCCACCTACTTGTTTAGAATTTTCCAAGTGGAAGATTATTCATCAGAAACACGCAAGAGAGGAAAAGGTGGAGGAAGAAAGGGGTTCTGGAGGGAGGGGTGAGGAAGGAAGAGAGCAACCCTATGCATAGTTAACCAGACTTTTGTCTCCCAGGAACTTCTCTATTCGGAGGCTGTTATCCAATCCGGTTCCTAGACCCGCTCTCTTCCCATCCCT